CATTCTGCACGATGTCGTTGAACAGGTAGCCTCTGCCGGTTTTGAGGCACCCGATCAAACAAGAAACGGGTTCTCGCCCCTACAAGACAAACAACAAGACATGTGGCAAACACAAAACACACAAAACCATTCCAAACCACCCAGCCACACCATGAAATTTTGCATACATTAACATTGCTAAAGCTTACTAAAACAAGCCATGGCAGCCCGGTGTGGGAGTGTTGTCCCTGTTCGTCGCTCTGTAGAGGTCGTTCCACTCTATCGCAGCCTCAGGCGCGCTTCAGAAGAGGATTTTGGGTTCAGCATTCGGGATTTACGCTGATTTAGGGTTTTGGAGTTTTGCCGTGCACGCCACTTAAGCCCTCCAAGGCACGAGCCTTAACTAAAGAATCAGGTTCGAAAGGGCTCTGAGTACCGGAGCTCTCGCCTTGACTCCACAACAAACAACCCTCACCCCCAAACCAAACTCCTCCACCCCCAAACCTTCACAACGAGAGCCCATAAATAAACCTCAAAATCACCTCCCCCCCAAACCCCGTACACCTCAAACTTGACCCCTTGAAACCCCAAGAAACGAACCGCTCGTCCGACAAAGATTGCACTTCCCCCATTCAGCTCAGGCCGGAACCATGCGCCCGAGCCTCGGGCTTAGGGTTGCAGGTTTCGGGTTTAGGAATTGAGGGTTCGGGTCTGGGCTTATGGGAAAAAAGACTGGGGTTCGGGGGTCTAGGGCTTAGGGCTTAGGGAGTTGAGGGTTTGGGTTTGGGGGTTTAGGAATTGAAGGTTTGGGTTTAGGGTTTCGGAATTGAGGGTTGGGTTCAGGGTTTTTTTGGCACCTTTTTTCCAATTGCGAACAGTTGGGTTCAGGGTTTAGGGTTTGGTTGTTGCTGCGCGGTCGGATGTTCTGAAATGGGTTTAGGGTTTAGGGTTTAGGAATTGAGGGTTTGGGTTTAGGGTTTAGCAATTGCGGGGTTTTGATACAAGGGCCTTAATGACTAGAATAATGGCTTCGGGATGCATTCTCGTATCGAGATAAGGGGCTGTACAAGAATGGCGGTACACCATACCCGGCAGGTTGTAGGGACGTGCATTAGGGTTTGACTTCTGGGGCTTAGGATTCTATCCTAAATTCTAAACCCTCAACCCCAAATTCTTAACCCTAACACGCTAACACCAGGCCCCGGCCTCCTGGATTTAGGTTCAGAGCTGCGGCTAGTATCACATAAAGGACGTTAAGGAAGTTGTAGAATCTATTGAAGCGTTGAGTATAATGAGTACAGCCTGACTGCTAGAGGGATTCTTCATCATAGTCCTTAATGAATTCCATTGTCCTCCCCAGAAAGCGAGAGATGGGAAAGGATCTGTCCGCTTCACCTCCACCTAAACCTTGAGAACCCGGAAGCCCCATCCAAAGCAGACCTTTGCCCTAAAGCTCTAGGGTTTTTTCCCGCTTGGTACCCTAGGGTTTTAGGTTTTAGGGTTTAGGGCCCTAAAATAAAACCGGAATCGGCCGAAAACCAGAAATCCCCAAGCAAAGTTGTCTGGGTCTCCCCGACCTTGGTGATGAAACATGGGCACCATCCCGCCCAGGCGCGTGGCTTTTGAGGGGCTCTTTGGACTCAAAGGAGGTCTTCGGGCTTTAGGGCTTTAGGAATCCAGGGTTGTTGGGCTGCAGGGTTTAGGGCTCCAGGGTTTTTTTGTCCCACCCGCTTTGCTGACTGGGGTTGAGGGTTTTAGGGTTTAAGGCGGCTGAAGGTCTTTAGGGCTTGACGGCTTCAGGGTTGGAGGGTTGGGCTTTCAAGGTGATGGGGCTTGAATCCTTGAGCTCTCTGGTGAGTTCAAGAAGGGTGCGTTCCAAGGCTCCTTAAGGGCTTTTACTTAAGGGTTCTAGAAGCGTGTTCCAAGGGCTTCGAAGGGTGGTGGGAGGGTCTTAGGGCGTGGACTGCGTCGAGCCGCGCGCAGCGACAAAGCAGCGCTTGGTTGCACTTCTGCTGTTCCGCATGCATGTGTCTCCTGAACATGCTGAGAATAACCCCTTAACCGATCAACCGGGTTGGTATTGTGATTGAATACTGATAATGACTCCTATGGAACGCCCAGAAGATCGTCTTAAGGATAACTCGGGCTACCTCGGCAACACAAAACACTCATCGAACATTGAGCCATCAGGATTTGTTTGCCTCCTACCCAGCAAGGACGAGTGTGCATCAGGATTTAGGATTTCGAGCTTACTGTAACAGAATGCACTCTTGATAAACTTTGAACCTCCATTTGTGTTTACGTAGGCCGTCCGAAAGTCGCGTGAACACACATCGATGATTCTATAAACCTTATAAAGCACCATAGAAGGCTCTAGCATTCTTCACCTCTGAATCCACTCCTATCTCAACTGGGCCACCGCTGGCTGGGTATCATACCTTTTCTCGCATGGAACCCCTCTTGCCTCAAAGTTGCTCAAAAGCCCAGGGGTTCGAGTTCAAGGCGCTAGCTTTTCCGGCTTTGGGGATGCTGTGGGGCTTGGGGCTATCGATTCTTAAAGGCAGGAGCTCGGGATTCAGGCTGATCTCGGGTCACGAGGTTAGGATTCAAGCTTTGAGGCTGTGGATTTCGACCGCAGAAAGCTCCTTGAGATGGTGCACAAAAGCAAGAAGCAAGAAGGATACTTGCAGCAATCCTCATCATCGCAATGATATTTCCTGGTGCATTAAGATAGAGAACAATACCATATAGTATGATCTGAGAAACATGTGTGTATATTATATATATATATATACATACACACTAGCATTTTACTACGGCTCAAGCCAGCGCCACACGTCCAAAGGGTCCGCCCTTGCTACCACGCCGGCTCACTGCAGTTGCAGTCCCACCTGCGACAGGGAGTCCTGGGCCCTTCCACTGCGGGTTAGAATTTCGGCTTCAAGTAAGCATGTAGGGTTTAGTTGACCCTAAACCCTAAACCCTAAACCCTAAACCGTGAGTTCATCGGGTTCCGGGAACAGAGATGAACGTCTCGCAGCTTCAGGCTGTCCAGAATCCCCCCTTCCTCTCTGGCACTCCGGCTGTTGCTGTCTGGCCTAGGCTCCTGGGTGCTGATGTTTATGGTCTACAATGACAGCTACAAGGCACGCCTACAGAATATGTTTTATTATGCGAGCAGCCCCTCCCCTGCGGCACCCCAAGGAGAGTTCCCAAGTAGTATCCTGCTGGTGAGAACCCTTAGTTTAGGGACCTCGGGTTTACCGACACCATTTGGGGGTTTGCGAAAATAGGGGGCCCTTATATAGTACCCTTAATAACAGGATCCTTATTATAAGGACCCCAAAACAAGGTACCCCTAATTTTCGGAAAGTCCCATTTCGCAAGCCCCGGACTCCACCAAAGCATGCGACTACCCGCCTCCACGCCACGAAGCCGCAAGAACCTGTGGTTTAGGGGTCTGGCATCTGCATACCCGCCCCCCCAACATGGGCTTACGTCTGCGTCCGGGGGGCTGGGCCCGATAGGGGCCTTAATAATTACAATAGGGCTTTGGGTATATTATACTATGATTGTAATAAGGAGCCCCCAAATAGTATAGGCCCCTATATTACCTTCACTGAACTTTCTGGCAAGCTTGTTTACACTCTCATGTGAGGGCGTTGGCACCGCGGCTCCTTGATGCGGATGCCAGGTGCCTGTTGGCTCCAGCGAATGCCTACTATATAACTCATAATTTATAAGAATACACAATAGACACTATGGAATATAGAGTAAGTCATATGTAATATCCTTGGTGTAGGGCTTCGGGTTTACGGTTTGTGGGTCAGCCCTATGTCCCGAGCTCCCACGCTACTGAAACTTTGCGGAGCGCGTCCTTCGCGAAGGGACTGTTGCTGTGGCGAGGGTTGGACCCAGGCTTCGGCTCTGAGTTCGGGTAGAACTTCGAGCAGTCAATGCCAGCCCCCACATCCCAAAACTTCCGCCAGGGAACTGCAGCAACTTCTCCTCGTTGCTGGCCAGGTTCCTCTCGATTCTTCCTTCAGCTTCTTGGTGTCTTGCAGTTCAGTTTAGGGTTTGGGGCTTCGGGCTACAAGAACTTCCCTCAACAGCATGACTCTGCCTTTTAGAAAACAGGCCTGCATGCAAGGGACCCCTAGTGTTGTGGGTCTGTGCATATGACACGAACCCCATCCCAAACCCAAAACCCAACAACAAAAGGCTGTGCTGAGTCATCGCACTTCTTGGTTTCGGAAGTGTCTTGTGTGATAAGATTTCACGTTACATAAAACTATACAGATGCGGCCTGACGCGGACCTTTAGATCAATGCCCACATGAGAAATGCGTGAGGGTTTGGTATTGATGATATATATTGTAGATGCTCACCTCACCG